GAGCAATTTGTCAGCTGTTTGCATTTGCACTAGAAGACAAGGCAGCTTAAGCTAATGCCAGTGAAGGTGCAGTATCTTGGTGAACACAGAGATGTTCATTGATGGTTTGCTTCTGGGAACAGAGAGTGACAGAGCAAAGTGGAGGAGAAATCAGCCACATTTCGTGGGTATATCAGTGGGTATATGCTGCCAGACACAACAGGCATATTTAAGGAGAAGGTCACAGAGAAGTTATACTACTTTAAGGACTCCTAGACCTGATATACCACAGTTCAGTGCTCCATGGAATTGACTGTCTGTTCTTGTGAAACGGGCAAAAAGAGTTGTGCCACCAGAATAGTGCTTCATATCTTTACATGAACTCTGTGTTTAAGCAGAAGAAATGTGTGGTATAGTCTGCCTTTGTAGCAATATTTGGAAATTTCCATGCTCTCTCTTTAAATGCATCTTTCTATTGTACCTTTGTATTCATTTTTATTAAGACCTTTGTTTTATTCTTGAGTCAAGAGATCATATCCCTGGAGGTAGATTGCATAATTGTGAAATCATAGAGACCAGAGAAACAATCACATAAGTACTCCCCAGAGCATAGCCAACATGGAAACCGAAAAAATGTTCTCCAAAGGCTGGTGCCTCCCAGACAGTTATAGCCTCCGATGTTATGTCAGCTTCTGACTTGTACATAAACCATAAGACACATGGCCTCTTTGCATCATTATTTTTCAGCTGCTTTTATTACTCCATCATTGACACTAGTACTTGAAACACAGACTGGAAGTAAAAACTTTCACAGTTGCTGGAGAATAATGAAGGTTGACCTGCCTTTTTCAGGTTCACTTTTTTGTTTTTCAGCATTCGCTAACTGTTCTTCAACCTGTTCAAAACTATCAAAAAGTAAAAACTTATCTGCTATGAACCAGTGATAGGAGGAACAGCTTGGCAGGGCCACTGAGTTGGGTAATCTTTTGTTTTCAGAGGGATTATGTCTTTTCTGTTGTGTGGGTTAGTGTAATAGAAAACATGGAAAATGAGGGGCACTTCTTTCACCTGGCTAAAAAGATGATTATCCCTCACCTAGTCACCTTCCTACCCCTCTGAGAATTTTAGTTAATCTGACATTTTTGATATAGGTAGCAGAAAGCAGCTGGGTGACTGCCCAGACATCTTTGTCCTGAGTCTGTTGGTGGTGAATAACTGGGGGGCAGAGAGAAGGCCCAGGTGGTGCAAGTCAGGCCAGGATAGTCATTAGATTAGATTAGATTAGTAAGTGTTTGGGTAAGAGGAGGCTCCTGATCCCAGATCCTGCAGGATCAGGGCAGGCTGAGACCTTGCTGGCCTCCGTCACTGCCATGCCTTGTGCTGGGGTGGGACATGAGGGCTGGCCAGCATAATGTTGGCAGCCGTCTCGGTAGGCAGCACATCGTGACAGCCTGCTGCTCTGCTTCACGAAGTGTCATCTGGCTGCTGTGCAAGGATCCCTGAGACATAACCACCATCATCCCTGCAGCAGAACAACTTTCCAAAAACAAAACAAAACAAAAGTGCTTTGCATCATTTTTTTTTTTTCGATAGGCTGTTTTTTAATAATTCTGCATGGCATTATTTATTTATTTATTTATTTATTTATTTTTCTTGGATTCAGACTGGAATTGTGCTTTTAGTGGATGTCTCTCTATGCTTCTAGTGGCCTTTGGCCATGTACTCCATAGTCAGAGTTGTAATAATGGCTATAAATACTTTTACAAACAGAGAATAATTTGGCTTCTCGTGCCAGAAGACAGAGCCTGCCCCGGAGGTACCTTTGCTGAGGTGAAAAACCCTGTTCCCTCCCCAGCCTTCGCTGATCAATTTCAAAACCTTCCCAAACATGAGAGGGGCAGCTCTTTGATACTTTACATCTATTTGCTACAGCTATCCGTCTTGTGAAAAAGTAAACACAAGAAGATGTCAAGATGTCCTGCTTTCTCTGGTTAGCATTATTCACAGTAGATACAGTGTTTTTGTGAGGGGATGAAAAGACTTTAAAGCAAAAGGTAAAGTCTAATTGAAGAGGGTTTGAGGGCTATGTAGATATATATCAGTTTAAAGCTTTTGATATAACTTCATGATGTCAGCTTGGGTTAAACCTTTAAGATTGAGAATGGATATAATAGGGATAGTCCATCACGGGGAATGGGGTTTCCAGAGATCTGTAAGGTTAATCTAAATTATCCCGGAGATTAGCCCTGAGACAGTGAATGGTTCCACAAACATCACCGCTGCTGTCCTGAGCAGTGATATGATATGTTCAGACTTTTGTTAACGTTTTCAAGGAGGCTAATCCTGTGAACCTCGGTGATGAGAAGACATGATTTTATAGGTGAGGCTGTCACTCTCCCTCTCGGTGAGTTATGGGGCTGGGCTGGCAGGGGAACAGGAGCATACAAGTTACAGGTCAAACTCTTCAAAGTCTGTCAGCTCAAGAAAATCCACTACGCAAATTTAAAGCTCTTCACCCTGAAGCGTCAAGCAATTTATTTTGTTTTAGAAGAGAAATAAGCTATGACCTTGTTACTTACATTTCTAGCTACTATCTTTGACTTATAGTCATCCTTCAAGCACTTTGTGAGATGCACGTAGCACTTTTTGTCATGGTAAAGCTCACAGAAAGCTTTTCAGTACTCTGCAAGTCCAAAAGAAAGATGCTAAAATACTTGTTCTTTGACATCAGAAATGGCGGTTTTGCTGTCTGCAGAGATTTGTTATACAGGTCGAATTCAAGGAGGCTTTTTTAAAATTAGTTCTCTCATACTTTATTTCCCACATTGAATATATGTACCTGAAAAATGACTGAGCATCATGACTACTAGTAACACCTATGTAATATCATTGTCCCCCTGCACACACAAAGACAGCTTTATACACTTACCTAATAGATGAAATTTTGCCAGTTCTATATAAACACTGATTTTTCACATTTTGGCCCTAACTCGTTACATAAATCATGTGAGGAAAAGCTTCATATACTTCACTTCCAGTTGTGCAAATATTTGTTTCAGCATGATTTTAAGGGAACTCAGTGGATTCTCATTGTTAGAAAGCAGATTTACATACAGCTGGGGACACAAATAAGCTTATAATAACAGGATAACTCAAAATATTTGGGAGGTGAAATGGCAAGTAAAATGTGAAATGGTACAGTGGATTCAGCTCAATTTTAAAGTGAATATTCAAATAATACCAGATCATTAGTTAATTTTTAAAATATCATTTTGTTGATTATGACCACTACCTCAGATAGAAAATTAACGTAGTGTGAGAATTCAAATAAATATAATGTGTAGTTATGGAAGCATCCTACAGACAAGGATCAGTGTAGATGCTCTGATTATTTTTACTTAATTGCATTTTTAAAGAAGTGGAAGAGGGATAAATGATGCATTAAGAATTCAGGAAATATTAAATATAAGAAAATGAACCCCTCTGAGGTCAGTGGATTTTTTATTTCAAATGCCTAGAACTATAGAAAACTAGAGGCGCTCATGATAAAATTAGTTTTATATTAATGAGTCTCATCAAACTTTCTTGTGCAAAATGAAAATCATTTGCAAATCAAACAGTAGGAAAGTCTGTTTCATAGTAAGGCATCTATGGAAATGTGCTGTCTCAGCATTGCCCTTCTAAAGTAATTTTTCGTGTAAGAACTTTCTACTCTAGTTATACTCTGAGTGTAAGAAGTGAGGAGACATCATAACCACACAGGCACACTTGCATCTGTGCCTCTTTGCCCTCATTACACCAAACATTAATTGTCAGCTGTGGTGCTGGAATTTTTGAAATGGGCACGCTTCATTCCTATTTTCTGTTCAGAACTGAAATTGGTAAATACCAAAAAAAAAAAAAAAAAAAGGCAGTTTGTCACATTTCCAGCTCAGTTTTCCAAATTCAAAAAATGCGGACAGGTTGGATAAGTTTCAAGTAAACACCCAAATAGTTCAAAGCAGCAAGAGGTAGATCCAAACCAAACTAAAGCTCCTAGCTCCTGCATTTCACAGACAGTTGGATCCAGATCCAAAATTCTTTGTGGGCCCCATATTTACAAAAGGGTGAATCAAAAACATACCCAAATCACCTTTGTTTTCTTTTTCCTCCTTGAGCAATGAAAGTGTTTGGATCTGAAACCAAGTTTGAACACTGCTTCTTATGCCATTCTTCTGTTTTGGTGGTTGTTCAGATTCAACCTGAACACAGATCTTTTGAGGTTTGTCCAGAAAAAAAAAAAAAAAAAAAAAAAAAAAAAAAAAAGATTTGAACAAATACTTCTGACTTGGCTATGATCTCATGAGACAGCATAATTGTGTCTGCTCTGAACGCCAAATTTTTTCAGATGGCAATATGAGCTACTGTATTTTTATCAGTGAATACAGTGGCAGTGAGAGGCTCTTAGGCTTAGTTTTCCAAAAGTACACAGAAATTTGGGGTGCTTGGTTTGAGACACCACACGCTTCATTTTCAGAAGAAGCTGAATACCTGTATTCTGAAAATTGGGATACCTCGGAATTATTATTATCATTACTAATAAAAATAATAATAATATATTTTAAAGTGTAAAGGATTTTTTTTCCAGAAATATGAAAAAGTCGCTGAACCAGGCATTAGTTCTGTAAAAATATTTTTACATAAAACATTTTTCTGTAAAAAAAAAATATATATTATATATATATATATTTATTTATTTTCAATTTTGTGCAGTGAACTTTTTGTAAGTGATGTCTGTACATTCCACAAAAGAAAAAAAATGCTGCATCAACTTTGTGAGCTCTGGTCTTAGATGCGAAAAGCTGAAAAAAGCACAAAATCCATTCTTAAAAGTAATAATATTAATAGTAATAAATAATGCTTTAAGGTAGATAGATGCACGGGCTCGCTCGTTCGGCCCGCCGGGGGCTCGGTGCCCCGCTCGGCTCCGGTTCCGTGTAGGGGCATCGCCACCTGCCGGCGGAACCCGCCGTGCTTGTAGAGGTTGTAAAGGGCCCCCCCGCAGCTTTTCCGAGTCGCTGCACGGATTTGGGGGGGGCGAAGGGCAGGCAGCTCCTGAGTCGCTGCGGCAGAGCTGAATGGCAGACTGGCTGGTAAAAGCCCCAAGGTTTTGGACAGCTCTTTGGACGGACTCTTGTTATCAGGGGGGATCTGCAAAGTTGGGACTTTCACATAGCTGCATGGCTTAGTTATAGCTGCGTGTTGGCTCAGAGTATAAATAATGTGAACAGGGCAGATGGGGTAAACTGAGGGTGGCAAAGTATTGAGCAAGCTCTATCAGTTGCATCAGCAGAGAGTTTAAGATATCGCTAGTTTACGAACTGAGGCTCTGATTGACTGCTAGGGGTGAAATTACAGAGTGAAATCAGAAAATAAGGTAAATACCTACTTTTATATACTTTTGTCATTTATAATCTTTGTATAAAGTACTGAGTACTCTGTATAAAGTACATCGTTAACTTTAATGTTGGTCAATTTACAGTTTACATTTTTGTTATTTTATTTTCCCTTGTTAAAATGTCTTTTCAGTACTCCCAGCAGCTTTGCAGTCCTTGCAAAAATACACGACAAAAAAAAAAAAAAAAAAAAAAAAGTGGTTAGCATCCAAAAAATGAACAAAGCCTAAAAACTTCCCCTATTTTTCTATCATTCTTCTCCTCCAAAAAAAAAAATGCTCAGAGACAGAGACTTTCTTCCACTTGAACTGATGATCAACTGACGTGGATTTCAACATAGAAGAAATCAGGACATACTGAGGATAGATGATACCTAGTGATGTTTAGAACTTACGATCCCCATAGACTAATTGGAAAACAGTGCTGGGTCTTGACCACATGTTTATCTGCAGTGGAGTCATGGATGTTTTAGTGGGTTGGATCCTTTGGCAGGAGGGAAATGTAATTTTCTTCAAGAGGTATTCATTTTAAGTGTGGAAACAAACTTAATGTAAGGCCTGACTCGTTCTTTGATGTTACATGTAAGTATGTTGTAAATCTCATCAAATGCAAAAAGCTAACAGAGAATCGAGCATTTTTTAGCTGTAAACCATCGCAGCCTTCCTTGGGAATGTCTATCTGCAAGTAAAGCTCTTCAAAAGCAAAAAAAATGAATCTAGGATATGATTTTTCAATGATTTTTACCCTTCCTTTCTGCTTTTGTCATCTGTAATTATTTGCACTGGTTATAAACAGATATCGCTGCCTGTCCATGAATGACCCCCTTTTGAGGAAATACTTGCAGCACTGGAGAGCTGCAGTATCGTAGTATTGTACACAAAATCAACTGTGAGCAGAAAGCATGGTTTAAAAAAAAAAAAAAAAAAAAGTAGTTAGTTGGGATGAGGCTTAAATGTGACCTGAATGTGTCAATGAAATCTAGAATTGTGGTGTCTGTGTTGTCTCCAGTTCAGTGACATTTGTATTTTTTACTTTAGAGGATGTAACATGGCAATCTTCTCTTCTCTCTTCTCTCTTCTCTCTTCTCTGCAAGTCAGGAATTGCTGATATTGGACTTTCAGTCTATTTGGAATAACTGAGGTAAGGCTTAAAGAGTGATCAATATTTTTACTATCAGACTGGTTAATACAATTGGCAATTTAAAAAAAAAAAGAACCTTCAGTCACATAAGCTCTGAGATAAGAAAAGGATTTGGGGACCTAAGACTGTCTCATTTTTTTCTCTTCTTCCTAATATGAAGAGGTGTACCAAGTCATTGCTTCTTTGCATTCCTGGCCTCACTTATATCCTTAGGCCATCAGGCTATGGGCTAAGCACAGGCCAATGTGCTTACTGATCAGTGCTTGGAGGGTAACACTGCTGAGTGACCAGGCTTTCCTTTTGTTCCTCTCCTGGCAAATAGCTTTGGGATACAAATCATAGAAAATTTTAGCAGCAAAGTAATGGAGCAGGAAGCTGATATTCGACATGTTTGGCAGGGGAGGGATATTTTCCAGGCGTCTTTCATCCTTTCTTCCTCACTGCACTGCTTGTCTTCACCAGTAGTTTTCCCTATTCCCTTGGACTCCTTCCAGCCCCTTTAAGCCACCACCACTGTTAAAGAGCCCAAGCCCTTTTCTGGGTGGCAGCACTAGCAGTGACAGCAGATGAAGTGTCTGGGATATACTTATTCCTACTTGGCATGTTCATCTTACCTCCCTGTCACTGACTCTGCTGGACAACCTCAGAAGCTGGTGTAAGGCTGCAGCCAGAATTGTCCTCAATCCACTCATTTCTGGCATAATTCCCACTTCATCTCCCCAACCCCATTCGTGGCATAGGTCGCTGCTGAGTGCAGAGTGCCCTCCGAGCCGCGGTCATTAAGCCAGGGTCATGCTGCATGCTTCAAGTGTAAGGTTAGGAAGATGCATAATGTTTTGTAAGATGGGAACCTAGGAAGGAATTTCAAAGAAGTGAATGCAGGCAAGTGACCAGGAATTACTATCCTAGATATGTTACAGCTTGAAAACAAAGAAGCCTGAATAATAACCAGTGACATGCTGCATGCAGTTTTTAAATGACCAGGATGGTGTAAGTCCTCACTGCTAATACCCTCCTTCCACCTCTGTTCCCCCAGACAGACACACAAGCACACATATACATGCACACATAAATATCTACATTTATAATCCCATTTGATTTACTATTATTATGTCTTTTGGGAAGGATCTTCCCCCAAAAGGCTCAAGATCTGATACTCTGCATTTGTTGAGAGTAGACAAGCTCCAAAACAATCTGCTACATGAGTGAGTCACATTGCCCTAGAATAAAGTTATGAACTCGATACCCTATCCAGAAATGAGACCACAGTGAAATGAGGTGATGTGCTGTTTATGTGAAAGAATATTTGTACTAGATACCTGTTGGTTTTTTTTCACTTTATAATCAGTCTTAATAGATCATTATCAGGCTAAAGTAAACCTCTTAAACGCTCAATTTGTGTGCGTGTAAATGAAGCTATGCAGAAAGGCCTCAGGATAGAATGAAGTTTATGAGATTGTAAGCGAGCTCTATTTATAAAACTGTTTGGAAATGAAACAAAGAGTTGTTCATGGCTCGCTGTATACACACCATCATCTCTAACAAGCAGCCTGGGACACTGTACATTTGGGATTTCCTAGTTCAGAAGGATGGAAATACACAGACCAGGGTTTCAATACAAACAGTGATTTTCTGGCAAGTAGTCTGATTTTAAAATATACTGGAAAAGAATAGGTGGGAAGTGTAAAGGAATAGTGCATTTGGTTCAGTTTGTGTCAGGAAGCAAATGTTAGTGAGAAAATCCATGTTGTGTTTTAACAGATCTGTGTCTCTATTTTTTAGGCTGCAGTGTCTGGTGGATATTGGAGATTACTGGGAGTGTTTTGCAGTTTCTTTCAGATTTCCAGGCCTGACTCCACTGTAGTTACCAAGCACTAAGTAAAATACTGTATATTTAGCACTCTATCTTCATGAGATCACAGAATCATTTAGGTTGGAGAAGACCTCCATGAAGATCACCATGTCTAACCATAAACGTAGAACTGCCAAGTCTACCATTAAACCATCAAACCCAAAGCATCATATATATACATCTTTTGAATACCTCCAGGAACGGTGACTCAACTCCTTCCCTGGGCAGCCTGTTCCAATTCCTTACAACCCTTTCAGTGAAGAATTTTTTTCTAATATCTAACCTAAACCTCCCTTGTAGCATTGTAGGTTCTTGTGCCCCAAGCACTTAACCTTGTTGAACCTCAAACAGTTGGCCTTTGCCCAGCCAGCCAGCCTATCCAGACCCCTCTGCAGAGCCCTCCTGCCCTTAAGCAGATCAATGCTCCTGCCCAACTTGGTGTCCTCTGCAAATTTACTGAAGGGTGCAATTAATCCCCTTGTCCAGGGAATTGGTAATGATATTTGTGTTCTTGTGTACATGCATAAATTTGTTGACAGAGAATTTATGTCAGAAATTAACATTCAGAGGATCCAAGCAATGTTTCTTTGTAGAATACCAGTAGCTGTGCATTATAGTCACTGTTTCTTTCATTTTGTTCATATGGAGTGGATCATGTAATATTTAAAAGAAGGTAATTGGGCTAATTTTTTATTTGTGGTCTTGAGAAGTAATGTGCAAGTCTTTCTGGGCATTAATCTGCCTTTTTAATACCCATTCTTTCAACCCTGGGATTTTTTTTGCCTGGTTTCATATTTATAAGCTGAGCAACACAGCAACACTACAGTGCCTCTGTGACAGCAGGATCTGATAAGGCAAATTATCAAAAGAAGACATTCTGGTGACACAGTTATTTTCGTCTTTATAGTTTGCACCTGTTGAACTGTTGGCAAAAAGTCAGTTAAGATTCAAATTAGAAAAAAAAAAAATATGTGCCACAAATGTAGCTTGGTTGTGCTGGGTCTAAGGGGTTAGGAACAAAGAAGACTGGTATTTAACCTTTAGAAATTGTATTCTAGCTTACATAAAGCATCCTTTAGCCTCCCATTTAACTTTTATAGATCTGTCTTTATTAGTAGGCATGCTCTTTGGAAAAATCCTCAGGAAGTGCTCCTGCTGGGTCTCCCCAGCTGCCCCAAGGTACCAATCCCCTCAGCTGCATGCAAGGAGTGAAGCACAACTTCATTTCCCCAAAATTACTGTCCCACATCGTGGTTGTTCAGAAACTGCCCAGAATGTCAAAAGGTGTTGGACTAGGACAACGGGATCTGGAGCCAAATCTCTTTCAGCTGCGGATGCAGTGGCACAAAGGGAAAAGCAGGAGGAATGTCCTCACTGCTTCTTTGCAAATGGTCTGATATGTTGTGTTCTATACAGCAATACAAACTGAACACAAAACTAGAAGCTTGTTGCACAACAAATGAAGCTTGCCATACATGTATATCCTAAAAATAATGGCTTTTTCACTTTGGCAAAAAGAATACACTTTTATTATAAGCTGAATAATTATTTCTTTTTAAAAATTGAGAACTTTTCATCTGAGTTGATAAATTGCACCTCATAACTGCAAAAAAAATGCAGTTTCTGTCTTAAGAAATTTGTGTGTGTGTGTGTGGTGCATGTTTTTTTTTTCCTCTCATTAGCTGGCATGTTGCACCATGCAAACTTTTTGAGCAAACTTTTAATTAGGTTAAATAGAGCATTAGTATTAGAGCAAGAAGGGTTGGTCAAGCAATCATGACTCAAGACAATCTCTGAAACACTTTGACTAGAAAGGAAATACAGCTCTGTGTGGGTGAACGAAAAATGAGACCTTTTATATGCATTATTATTTATTGTTCTACTTGAAGTTTGGATAACAATTGTAAACCGCATGTGTGCATGTATGTGCATGGACTTATAATAAATAGTTAATGAAATCTGGAGCACAAATCTGGATACAAATGCCTCTGCTGATCTCCTTCTATATATGTATATATATATAATGGACCCAGCCAAAACACAATCCCCAGGTTTTCCAGACCTGGATCTAAATCCAAATGTCGTGGCTCATGCCCACCCCTACTTCTTTTCAAGGAACTCATTCATCAGTGGTGTGGACATTTCCCTGGACTTCATTTTAGCTGCCAGAGATTTTTTGGCATTTTATAATAAGACTAATTGCAGTGCATGTGAGCCCCAAGGAATGAAGACTCTTCTCTGCTTTAAAATTAGTAGCTGTGACTGCCAAAGTGACATGCAGAAATATTCTGGAGGGCAGATAGAAAACTCGATGAGAGTTTCCAAGGCCACACAACAGAGTGCTGACTTTTTCAACTCAACAAATATAGTTTTTCAAAATACTTGCCTTCCTTTTATTCCTATGGGGCACTGCAACTAAAAGAAGTAGAGCTAGCAATTTTTGGACTTAACCACTTAATTTCCCCTCTGATGAGCTTTCATCTCACTCTTACTGCAAAAGCTATTCTCTTCCTGGCTGTTTTGAATATTAGTTCCTTGGCTAATAAAATTTTACAAGTGATTTTGAAAACAAACAATACTATATTATCCTTTTTTTTTTTAACACATGAAATAAATATTCCATCAAAGAGACTTTTATGTTTCACAGTGGCAGTTCTCAAATGACCATCATGGTATCATGTTCAAAACAGGGCACGGTCCATTTTTACAGTAGATTTACTCAATCACAGTTACTAATCGGATTAGTACTGCTTTTATGTCTGACAAATTTTTAAAAGTTGGGGGTCATTAAAGCACTTGCATATAAAGAGCTTGTGGTGCTGCATTGTGTTTTTCTAGTTAACCATTTCTGCTTTGAAACAAATCAGACAAACATTTTTTTATTTATTTTTAACGCATATTGAAGCTAAGTTGTTCTTACAGGTTTTGGTGCCACCAAGCATTTATATCCATCACAACTGAGCAAAGTGCATGCTCATATATGCAGTTAAGAAAGAATATCCACTTAAACAGTAGGAGAAGGCTGAGTGCTAGGGAAGGACTCATACATGCTACTACCCAAAGGGAAAATATTTCCTCACACCTTGATCTTCCTCCTTGATCATATGCAAGACCAAACCCTTACCATATGAGTCACAGATTTCAATATTGTTCTTTCACAATTGATCAAGTTGTTCAAAATTCTAATAAAAACATTACAGTTAGAATTGGCAATCATGACACTGCCAGTGATTTTGTTAAGAACTTAAGAGGAAAATACTTGCACCTCCAGAGAGAGAAAAGGCCACCAAAAGGATAATTTTCTCAGGAGGCTGAACTCTAAGAAAGTCAGGGGGTTATTCCATATCTTTTGCACATATAATGCAGGCCTTCTTTGGATGCTAACTGTGTATCTCCTTCTACTTTGGCTGTTTTCAGAAATTCCACAGGAAAAAAAGAAACATTTTAGTCATAAGACTGTAGGAGGGTCCAATGGTTTAAGGCTCAAGCAGAATCAATCCTGTCTGAAAGAAAAAGCAGATAAAGCAGATAAAAAAGGGTAGAAAATGAAATCTAATCTTTTATTTCTACTGGAAATTCCCTTCTGGATTAGGGGGAAGAAAGCAGAGGGCGTGCGATAACCATTAAATAACTATTGCAACATTAAAACTGTAGGAGTGGTTCTGAATGGCTTATTGCTGAACAGGCAGAAATGGGATGTCTGTAAAGGATCTAGAAAATATTCCAGGTGTCATACAACACCCAAAACAACTAACAGGATCTGCTTTTTTTGAAAGTCAACTCTATTTTAGTATTAAAAGACTGTTACCAAAAGGATGTCTTGCTAAAATCACCATAGATGCTGATACCTGCAAATGGTTCCACTGCTGCCTCCCCCATATGCATGTGAAAAAGTAACTTTCATACAGCTGTTATGCTATATGCTAGAAAGCCTTTACTTGTTTTAGTTTAAGTCTGGAGGGTATGAGCAAAGTTTAGATTTCTTAATGGATAAAGAAAAAATAGTATTTTTTTAACATGAATCAAGTATACCCATAGATTTTTAACAGAAATGAATGTACTAGAATGTAAAATAGCTAAATATATGTATATATACAGTCTATTTTTGTACGTGCCCTCCATAAATACTAACATTACGAGAAAGTGAATGGGTTAGTATCAGCCAAGCAAAGGCAGGAAATGATCAAATTAAATTTACACAGTGAAGCTTAGATTTTGTCTCCTGTGTATGTGCATTGCTGTGAGATCTGTGACATTGATATATGCCATTTTTCCAAGCAATAAAGTTCAGTACCATATATCTACTACAGAGTAGGACTCTGTACAACAGGGTCTTGCTGTCTGTGTGTCAACTCCCTCTTTTGGGAGAGAAAAACGAAGTAAAGATAAAACCTCAAAGTTGAGATCTCCTCCACAAGACTGCAAAGCTCTGTTGATCTCTACAGTAACAACAGTATGGGAATATAAATCTATCTCACTGTTCGTTAACAGAGCTAAGAGCTAGTCGGAGATAGAGGTTGTTAATGCAAGTCTTTCTCTTTTTGTGTTCAGGGAGGAGTTTCGTCTCTCAGTGGAAAGCAGGAGAGGAGTTCTACCTTTGTTCTACCCAAAATCATTAGCTTCTCAAGAGCCTCAGAGATTAACATCCCCTGACAAACCCTGTACTGAGACTGAGCAACTATTATTAATTCCTCAGCACCTCACAAATTAGCACAAATAAACTATTCAGAGCAACACACTGACAGAGTTAAACAACTTATTATTAATACACCCATTATATTAATATGTCTATTAACATAAGGCTGTTACTGTGAAAACACAGTTGACAGAATAATATTTATGATATGAATAAACCTAAGAAAGTATTCTAGTGACATTAATACTCAATAAATTTTTGGCATTCCTCAGTGGTAATGACTGAATTAACATACTGTGACTAGAAGAACAAACTGACCCAAATGAGTAGTCCATAATCTGGGGCATGTTGAGAAACACTAATAGAACTACTGAAGATTTAGAAACTCTTACATAGGGGCATGAAGAGTAAGTTCCAAACAGAAAGCCACCAAAATTATAGTCTTCTGTAAGCCAGGCCATCTTAAATTTCCAGAGTTATCAATGAATAGTGAATATAGTCAATAAAGCGAAATGAGAAATTCAGTTTATCCTAAGCTAAACAACTAAAAGAGGCATTCACTTTCCTAAAGAGAGATATCTAGGGCCATTTGAGATGCTCTAGGTTACCCACAACAGAACCACATGAGGCTGGGCACAAAATCTATGCCCTTCAAGAACAAGTAGTTGCCAGAAGAAATATCCTGGGGCATCAAGAAAGTCACTAGATGTATGTGATTAGGCAGCTGAATCCCATCTGTACTGGATAGTCAGCTGAAAATCTTCCTAATGACAGACAGCTAATGCACATATATATTCACTCCTAAATCTAGGTAGACACCTAAATTGCACATGTTGTGTCAGTTCCATAGTTCCTAGCTACGAGACAGATGAGTGTGTGGAACACTGAGAGCAGAGCACAGGATAGTCTTGGGAGCAGTTCCTTGCTGAAAACTATACAGTGATGGCTCTCCAAGAAGAAAAATATTGAAAGTGCTGACATACTAGTAATGGCATTTCATGTGTTCTCTTGGCATGTGACTAGACCTGTTGTCACATAATGTTTATTCTTCTCAAAGGAAAAAGAAATAAAGAAAAATAATAACTAAAAAAAAAAAAAAAAAAAAAAAAAAACAGATCCCCAAGGCTTTGACAAGAAGACACTAATAGTACATGTATTTATTCATTTCCACAAATAGATATAGTAAAACTTTTGCCAATAAGTTAGTCAAACAATCTGGGGAGAAAGAACTATCATAGGGAGGCCCCAGCTCCTGGTTCATTTGCTAGGCTTCCTTTAACGTGGACCATCAAGCCCTACAGTAGCACAACATTTCTGCCATTGGCAGGTCAGGAGGAAAGGCGTATTTCATGCTCACGTTGCTGACCCAGACCTCCGGCCAAAAGGGAGTGATATTGATGTGCTCTGGAGCAGGTTTATCTGACTCTTAATCAGAGAGCCATTAGCCTGACACAAGGGTCAAAGTAGAGAGTATAAAATGCACTGATATAAGAGGATAGAGAGTCTGTGGCACTTCCTCTAATTATTTTTATTACCGTGTTGGACTTCAAAACAGCAGCTTAGGAAAAGAAACGGCAAGGTAAAACCCTGACCCCACTGAGAGCAATGGGAATTTTATTATTGACCTCACTGTGACAAAACCTGACTTTTCCCTAAGTTTAAAGAGTAGGTGTTTGTTTTGAGAATATTAGTTTTGCAAGATAGACAGAAATTTCAGTGAGACTGAGAAATCTCCCAGTGATCTTCAATGCAAACCAGAGACTGTCAAATCCAAAAACTTGGTTTCTCTCTTTCCTGCTGGATATGATTCACTAGTATCTGTCAGGGCCCTGATTGCACTAATTGGCTTTAATTTCCCAGGCCAGCCTCACCTGGAACCTGGTACCTGCCCGTGGGCCCAGGAGCCCCACTTAAGTTTGGCCCTGAGTAACCATAGGTTCCTTCCTGGGTTATTGAGTGGTTTTCCTGGATACATAGTGGGCCTGTGTTGTAGGTAGCTTTCTTTCCATCTTCTGGCTAGGCATCAGACCTATGCTGTAGTCCTGTTTGTGGTCCTTCATCCAGTGTTCCTGAATGGTGTCCCTAGCTGGACTATGAACCTAAATCATTACTTTGTGTTTTTTTTTTAGAAACTGTCATTTGACAGTTTGTGATCATTGTCACCAACACAACCCTGTTCTGGCACTGTATGACTGTACCCCAGTTGAAAGGTTCACTCTCTGCTCCTGGCGAGTCTTTGCTTGTAGGGCACCTCTGTTCCTGCTGCTCTCTGGCAATGTTCCTCTCCAAAATGAAGCACCCAATGGAAGGTGATGCTACTGAAAGTGGAAAGCCC